TAACAGAGATTACACGACAGGCCTGCTTTGCTTATTTCATGCATCACCGTGGCGTTTAATTTTCATTCCTGAATGACTGCTGCAGTAAGGATGTTAATCTGTTTGTAGAAATAAATAATGTCTCTGACTATGCTCATTTATAAACTTTGACATTTCAAGAGGTTTATACTATTGTAACATATTTCACAGTTAATGCATTGTTCCAGAATACAGCTGTGCCTGTTTAAATTTGCACTTTGAACCTTTACAACATTATTTCAATACAAAATATTTTGTTGAAATAATACGGCTAACTTTTAAAATCTCCCATTTCATAAATATAGTCATCCTTATTGTCACATATACAATATCAGAATCCTAATGTGCCACAATTTATCACAGGTTGAAAAACATGAACAATGCACATGTTAAGAAAGCTACTAACCTCCTCTTATCCGTTTGCAAAGAATTTTTTTAAATGAGTCCCTAAATTCTTTATTGAATACAGTATAAATAACAGGATTTAGAAAGCTGTTGCAGTAACCGAGCCAAAAGACGGTTTTAAACAGCGCCTCTGGGATGCAACATGTATCACAAACTGCTGCGAGTGTATAGGTGAAAAAAAAGGGGAACCAGCAGAGAACAAACACTCCGATGACCACAGCCAGGAGGAAGGTGAATCGTCTCTCTCTGTACTGCCTTTGTTTACCTTTTTTCGGTTTTACACAGTCTGGATCTTCCACCTTGGAAAGTGTTTCCTTAGGTTTCACCTGGGTCATGTTGGATGTTATCCCACTTCTCTTATTTCTTAATAAACATAAGTTGGTTTCATTCCCACTAGAGGAGGAAGGATCTTCCTCTTCATCAAAGCCACAGATCTCATCTTCATTCCTTTCTTTTTCCTCTTTTTCTTGAGGGTCAGCTCCACATTTTGTTTTCTCCAAGTTTCCGTTCTTTTTCTGGAGGCCTCCTGGTAAGGCTCTTGTTTTTGACAGATTCTTGACAATCTGGTAGATCCGGATGTATACCATAATCATGATGAAACAGGGAGCAAAGAAGGATGCAGTGCTTGAAAATATGATATACCATTTCGCCTGATTGAGCTGGCACACTGGTTTGTCCTTTTCTCCCTCCTTCATTGTTACAACCGAAGGGATTGAGATTAAGGTTGCAAGAACCCAAATCAAACAGATGATGCATTTAATCCTGTACAAACTTCGTTTCATGTTATATTCGATTGGTCTAGCCACAGACCAGTATCGGTCCAAGCTAATGACACAGAGGTGAACTATAGACGATGTGCAAAAGAGAACATCCAAAGCCAGGTGGATTACACACCACACCTGACCAAAGTACCAGTAGCCCATTAGTTCATTGGCTAAGGAGAAGGGCACTGCTAAAGTGAAAACCAGGATGTCTGCACATGCCAGAGAGACCAAAAACAAGTTATGGGGTGCCTTAAGTGCTCGAGATGTGACCACTGCAATTACTACCATGATGTTGCCAAACCAGGTTAGTAAAATGAGCATGCCCACTAGGATGCTGAGAAGCACCAAGGTCTGCACTGCGTAAGGTTGTGTGACCGGCTCATTCATGTTGGTGAGATTGAGACAACCCATCAGGATGAACCTTAGTGTCCAAAATAATATTCAGAACTGTTGTGAGCAGAAAGGGAACTGTGCACCCCAAATAGTCATTAAGCGTTTATCTTCATTATGCTGAGACGCTGCAGAAGTCAATGTTTTTTGTCTTCCTACAGGATAAAAAGCAAAGAATAAATAAATAGAAACACTATTTTAATGTTCTTTTTTGTTGAAAGAAAAGCATCTATTAAAAGTTTTCATTTTTTAACATAATTTTTTTAATACTAATTGTTGGTAATAAAAATAAGAAATATTCATCCACCTACCTTTGTAATAAAAGTGCATATCTCAATCCCCTGAAAGCCATGTAATGAAACTCCTTTAAATTTCCTTCAAGTTCTGGTTCAGGACAGGACTTTGCAGGTTTTAAAGCTCAGGCGGTCCTTTAAGCTGTTGCAATGGAGCTGGAAACCTGCGATGCAGCCTCTACATCAGTTAGAGTAGGAGTGGGTGGAGTTCAGTGGCTGGAGCCCTAAAAAGGGATTTTGTTCTGCCTTCAGACACCTAAATCAGTGATTGATTTTAAGCATAATTATATTGTTGATTTAGAAACAATTTATGTACACTATGGAACTGCAATGCTGTATGGGTATATTCTGCATTATTTTATGCTTCTGTGTAATGAACATATCAAATATATATTTGACAAGAAACTAACTGGACATAATTGCTACCTTTGGAGAGAAGATGGGGCTTATTTAGAATTTCAACAATAGAAATGAAGTCCCAGTTATATATAGATTTTTAAATATGCTGTACATATGGAATTATTTGGATTACTGTTTTTTAGGATGTTTATTATTTTTGTGTTTCCCATCTGTCTCTACAAATTTTCTAAAAGTCCTTAGATTATACGTAGGTTTGCTTCTTTGTATCTGCCCATTGTTTTACATAATAGGTGATTATTTTCACTCATTTGGTCATTTGCAACACCTCTATGTCACATTCCAGTCTGATGTGTGAAATTTAGGGTGAGTGAAGCTCTTGTTGCCACAGCCTTGCTGCATTACAGTGCCTTGCAATGGTATGCACACTCTTTGAAATATTTTCTAATTTTGTCACTACACAGTCATAAAACTCCACTGTGTCTAATTGGGATTTTATGTAATAGTGCAACACAAAGTTCATATTTGTGACGAGGAGGAAAATGAAACATGGTTTCTCCATTTTGTTCAAAAAAAAAAAAAAAAACATCTGAAGTGTGGTGCACCTTTATATTAAATGTGCATACCCCCCTTCAATACTTTGTCCAATCATCTATTTCTGCAGTTAGAGCTGCAGGTATTTTATTGTATCCTAATAGCTTCTCTCATTTGCAAACAAACATTTTGACACATTCTTTACAAGCTCAGTCAGATTTGAGGAAAAAGTGACTGTGGACAGCAACTTAAGACTTATATTTCAAAAAATGAAGTGAAGCTAACTCCTACTACCCAGAAATGAAAGCCATTTTAAACAAAGCTCCGACAACAATGCAGACTAGTTCCACTAACAGCTTATAAAAGCACTTCATTACCCAAGGAATTTCATGAGACACTTTGCCTGATCAACAAACCAATTGCAGTTACAAAAATGGGTGAGTGAATATAAAACATAAACAAGAAAGTGAAAACTGTAAGCATGGTTTTATCAGGCTTTATATACTGTAAATATGGGCCCAATGCCACCCCCTTGCCTTTGATGCAGCTTATTACAGCATGTGTTCCTAAGTAATTAAATAATCTTAAAAATCTTTGTAATCATACAAAGCTGTATATTGATTATTGATTATTTTCAGATGCACAGTATTTTTATTGTAAAAACATTGTACTGTACATTATTTTATTTGTTATTTTCTTAACTCTGTGGCTTATTCTGTTATTTCTATACACTTTTTGTAAGGTCCACATTTGTGTGACCACTTTTGCTATAATATTTTTACTGCTCTGTCACCATAATTTCCCTGTTGTGGGACAGTATAGGCATTTTCTAATGTATTCTAAATCACTGTTGTGTCCAGCTGCTCATGAGGTCAGCAGCAATCCTTAATCCATCTTTCACATTTTTAGAAACTAATTTTTAATTGTTAAGTAAAGGGGGCACCTTTCCGGTAGGGACAAATTGGGACAAATCACAAATGAGATTTAGCCAGTAGTTGACAAAGCCAACTACAATCATTAAAGGTGAATAACATGAAGTGGAGAACTCTGATTAAGCCATTCTAACATATAAATATATTTTAATCTAAGCTGTTTTATAGTAATCCTTGCAGTAATGCTTAATGTATTTGTCCTGTATGCGGGTCAACCTGTACCCCTATCTAAAGCCTTGCAGCCTCAAAGAGGTTTTCTGTCACTGTTAGCTATGATCCACTTTCCTGTCTCCGCTGAATGACAACCTCTCCAGCATAATGCTACCACATTTTCCCTTTTCTTCACTATTATTACATTTTATTTTATTTTTGGTCTATCGCATACAATCAAATACAAGAAAATTATCTGGATGGGTTTCTTTTGGGAATGAGATCAAATGGGATGGGTCACTTTGCAAGATATTGTGATTCAGTTCACAGGCATAACTTTCTAAAGGATTGGTGTGGACATGTCCCCACCAAATTTGGCCTGCTGTGGACATGCCCCCACCAATAATTTCAATAGACTGGATGGATGGATGGATGGATGGATGGATGGATGGATGGATGGATGGATGGATGGATGGATGGATGGATGGATGGATG